AAATTAATAGTTATATAAATGTATTATTCTCATTTAAAAAATCATCATTTATTACTGTTATTAATCCTTATTCTGCTTCAATTCTGTAATTATATTTTTATGTAAATTTTATTTATAATAATATGACAATGAACTATTATATTTTTCATATAATTTCATTAATTAATTTAAGTTAACCGTTACATTAATAATATTTTATATTTTTTATAGAAATTAATTAACAATATCTGTTCTATTCATGTTGTAATTAAAAATATATGTTGTGGTATTAAAATTTTTGGTTTCATCACACTTCAAATTTGTACTCAATTATTAAGTTTTAGAGAAACAAATTAATGAATAAATGTAATAATATTTGAGAAATAAAAAATTTTATCCCATATTAAATGTTAAGTACTTTATACAGAAAGCATGCCAACAAAGAAATAGATACACGTGGCAGACCTGTAAAAACTAATAAAAATGCTGATACCCAATGTGATATGTGTGGACAAGCATTTGAATCAATCACAGCCACAATAAGGCATAGATTTAAAGTTCATCCTAATTCACCTGCAAAATTTTATTGTCATTACTGTGGAATGCAATTTCCTCTAAAAGTATGTTTTCTTATCTACTGAAAATTGTATTCATTTTTTAATCCACTAAAACCATCATATTTCTTATTAGACTCATAGGGATAGTCATCAAGCATCACATGATTCATCTGAAAGTGAGAGAAAAGAGCAACATAGGAAATGTGAAGACTGTGATGTATTATTCTACAATGAAAAAGCTTTAGATTATCATTATCGTTCTATTCATAAAAGGTAAAATGAGATACTTTTGCATCATCAGTAATTATAATAAATAATTTAATATCTACATATTCTATCAAAATTTAATTTACAGAATGGTTCATCTTTTTCAACCAATTGCAACACCACCACCTAGCAATAAAATCAAAGTGAATTCTATGAATGATGCTCTTAGTGTATATTACTGCCATTTATGTGGTGCAGAGTATATTATAAAATTCAATTTGCAACAACATTTGGAGCGAGCTCACACACAAGTAAAACAATATATACAAATTATTAGAAAATTTTATTGTACTTCTTTATATGATGAAAAATGTAAATACAATGTAATACAAAACTTGTCCATGAACTTAATTCTTTGTTCATAACAGGAAGAGAGAGAAGCTGTGCCAGAAGATTTAATAAAGTGTACAGTATGTGCTGCATTATTTTGCAGTAAAAGGGCTTATGAAGTGCACAATAGCTATCATCAACCAGATGATTTGTATGTAACATCAGAGGAACAGAGATTACAAACAGTAACTAAAGTAGACCAAGATTTTGATATTAGACGTGTAGAAGGTGTAGCTGATAAGTATCTTCCAAAAATTAATACACCTAAACGGCCTTCTAAAAGCTGCAGACAGGTATAACTAAATTGATTATCTCCTTTGTTATTGTTATCAATTAAATATTTATTCTGCAGGCTAAAACGACACTAAAAGTAGGTGTTAAACAAACAGGAAACTATTCCTCCTCTGATGATGACATAATTGTTATTAATGATTCGAGTGATTCTGAAAGTGACCTTCCTTTGAAGCAAAGAATTTGTAGCTGACGGAAGTTGTTCATTGTGTCTAAGATAT